TTCTGAGAGCACTCTGCATTCCTGGGGGCCTGGAGCTGTGCCCTGACCTGGCTGAGGTACACCTCGTCATTCCTGAGCTCCCCACGGTCAGGGACTTTGGTGCTTGTGCCTCTGGCTGGCTGGAAAGCTCTGCCAGTGGGTGTTGGGCATCCTTGTGTTGTCAGGGAGAATCACATCAGTGCCGGGGGCTCTGGGCTGCCCCCCTGCCCAGGTGTCCACTCCTCAGGGGTGAATCTGCCAGGGGAGCCTGTGTTTGCTGCCAGCAGTGTGTCCTGCTCACAAACCCGCTCAGCCTGTTCTGCTGCTCTGGGTGGCCTCCAGTCCAAGCACAGTGAGCAGTGTGGGAATGTTCCTGGGGCAGCACTCACCTCACCTCTGAGGGACAGCAGGTGTGGCCAGGCTGCTTCTGCTTGGCCCCTGCGGGTCTCACTTGGAGGGGTCATTTTGGGGACGGTTTTGGTTGTCACAGTGTGATCCTGCTGTGACCACTGGGTATTTTTCTTTCATAAACTGGTGTCAAATGCAGTGCTCTGAATCAAGAGGCTCACTAATAATTGCATGGGGCTTCCATCCTTTCCCACTGCTGCATAGATCAGCCAGTTGGAACGAGTCCAGAGGAGGCCACAGAGATGATCAGAGGGCTGGTGCACCTCTCCAGTGATGAAAGGCTGACAGACTTGGGAGTGTTCAGCTAGAGAAGAGAAGGCTCTGGGCAGATCTTAGTGCAGGTCTTGCTTTCAGTCCCTACAGGAGCCCCAGGAAAGCTGGAGAGGGACTTGGCACAAGGCTTGGGGTGACAGCACAGGGGGAGTGGCTCCCCACTGCCACAGGGCAGGGTTAGATGGGGTATTGGGAAGGAATCCTTCCCTGTCAGGGTGGGGAGACCCTGGCACAACCCTGGCACGTTGCCCAGAGCAGCTGTGGCTGCCTCATCCCCAGAAGTGTTCAAGGCCAGGTTGGATGGGGCTTGGAGCAGCCTGGGCTAGAGGAAGGAGTGGGACTGGGTGGTCTTGAAGCTCCCTTTCTACCCAAAGCTTTCTGTGCTTTGGCATCCCAAAACTGCCACCACGTAACTTTCAGTTAAAACAGAGCTCAGCACTGGAAACCCAGGACCAGATGTCTCCATTCTCCAGTTAAACAGGGAAAAAGCCACTCAGTGACAAGGACAGAGTGCAAAAAGGAAGAGACAGGTTTGTAGAGGGGAGCTGTGTGACTCGTGGGTGATTAGTGATGGTGGGGTGTCACTGGGCAGAGTTGGGCTCATGAGGGGCTCCCCACATTCTGCTGGTTCCATCTCCTGGCTGATCTTGGCCACGCTCAGTATTTGGCCAGCAGCAACGACGAGGGATCTTTGAGAGGTTTTATTGGTTTCTGCAGAGGCCTGTGAACCACTGGAGCCAAGTGGTTCTCCTGTGAGGATAATTATTTGGTGGACCCAAGGGCCCAGAGAAGTTTTGGGCCATCCCCCTTGGCTAAAGGTTTGACCAGACAAAAGCCTGAGCAAGCTGCTCTGATCCTCATCCTGATCATGTCTGGAGCAGGAGGATGGACTGGAGATCTGTCTCCTAGGTACCTTCCAATATCAATTATTTCATGGGTCTGTGATGAAGGTCTGTGATATATAAAGCATTGGAAGGATATTGTATCAGATTATATTTCAGTTTCTTTTGATGAAAAAATCCATGGGTCTAGGCTGCTTTTTTTGGTCTTTTTTAAAGATTGAAGTGACTGAATTTTGTTTCAGAACTTAGCAAAAACCCTTGAGTGTGTTTGCCTGCATTTGTGTCTCAAGGGGCTGCTGAGGGAGGATGTTACATCTGAAAACCTGCTACAGAGCCTGGTTTTCACCGTTTCCCACCTTTTTTTGCAATGTTGTCATTTTGTGGAGCATTTCTTATCTTTTGGCATATGGTTCTTTACCAGCTCTTCATACCTGTCTGTAGTTAATGACTGTTTAATACATTTAATACATTTCCAGTTGTTTGCAGTGTGGCTACTCTGCTCTGAGCATTGTAAGAATTTATGTCCCTGAATTTTTATTGTAGGCAGCTTTGTAGCTGTTTTCTGCCTCACCTGCCCCGTGAATACTCCCATGCTTCAACAGAGAATATCTTTATAATGCACTGGCTTTGCAGAGGCTTTGACCCCCAACAGAACTGCTATTATGTGGGTACCCCCTAACCTTTAGCTTCTTTTTCAATAGTGATAACTTCCATCACGCTGTGACCTGCTGGATTCCCATCTGCTGGAATCCTCCTGTGCTGATTCTGGGTTTCTGTGTGCTGGAACATTCCTGTGCTGGTCCTTGTGGGCTTTGGGCTTCTGGGCTGCCAGGAAACAGGGGGAGATTTGGCTTACCTTTCTTTCTTCTTCAAACTTCTGTTTTTAATCTGCTCTGAGTCCAGTTTGGACACTGAGGGATCTGGGTCAGGCACATTTGGTGTTGTTTTATTTTATGAATCAGAAAATGTTGAAGTTGGGGAAGTTTCTCTTTTTTGGAGGTGTTCAATGTGGTGCCAAATCCAGGGGTTTGCTTGGTCAGCTCTGGGAATTAGGGTAAACTTTAATTAGCAGAAAGGATAATTGCCAGTCTCCAGAGACATGTAATCTAGGTTTCACTCTTAGTTCTAGTAACAATTTTTAAATCAATTTGTTCTCATTTTCAAGTGTCACAAGTGAATCTCCTGTGCAGCCTTTGCTTTGGGTTGTTGGGCTGAGCTGAAGTCCTCAGCTGACAGAACACTGAGCTGGATGTGAGATGGAAATCTGTGTCAGGGACAGCGTTTGCAGCTCTTGGTCACATCCTCTTGCCATCCTTTTTTTGGCAAATATAAAACCTGAATTCAGGCATGAAAACACTGTAATTCTCACATTTGTTTTTTCTGGCTACCACTGCTGGCTGTTGGTTGGTTTTACCTTTTGTCACATCTAAATGCTTTATTCAGGTCCAGGATAACTGATTCAAGTGGGACATGGCACTCGTGCAGTTCTGCGTGGGCTGTGCCCAGCCCTGGCAGTGCCAGGGGCTTTAGAAACCTCTTCATTTTCTTCTTAAGAAAAAGGAACAAGCTGGGAGCTGCTGCACCACACACAGCCTGGGTTTATTCCTCTTTGCTCTAAATGTCGTTTGAAAGTGTGGAGATGTATTCTGGGGCTACCTGTACCCGTAGGCAGAAGTGCCTGGGCTGTGGGTGTTCGGTCCCTGTGGTTATTTTCCAGTGTGCAGACTCTGGCAGGTCAGCACGATGTCTTGCCTGGAATTTCCTTGCATTCTAAAATTAGGAGAAGGCTCTAGGAAACAATAGCAAATCAAGTCTCCAAACTCCTTCTCCCCTGGACCTTTTTGTCATTTAGACTTTCACCCACTTCCTTTCCACTGAGCTGGTCTGTGTTAGATAATCAGGGTTAACAGAGCTGGTGATGGCCAGCGCTGAGAGGGGTTATTTTTGAAATGTACTTATTCCCTACACAGTTATTATGGTCCTGTAGGACATGACAAGTGTGAATTTCCTGTCAGTGCTGTTGATCCCTGATCACTTTGCTGTGCAGAGTGCTGTGGGAGCTGGACATCCCCAGGGCAGCAGGGGCTGTGGTTTGGTACCCCTCACACACACACACCTGTGCCTGGCAGTGTGTCCTGAATGGGACTAGGGAGCTGCAGAGGCCTGGATCTGTGCAGAACCTCCCCCAGGTACACCACCAGACTTTGTGGCTGTCACTGCAGGGGAGTTGAGCAGCTCACCTGTGCTCTGTGCATCTTCTCAGGGTTGTGTTTGCTCCGTCTTTTCATCCACTCCCCTCCCTTGTCTGCCCTGTGCTCTCGTTTCTGGCAGTGTTGTGGGGGTCCTGAAGGTGCCCCCCACCTGGGGGTACCCTGCAGGTGTTCCTGGGGGGGTCTGTCCCAGCAGCTCTCGTGGATACCTGGAAAGGCACCTGTGGAGGGAGGTTCAGAGCTCACTCTGGTTTGATCCCTCCCGGTGTGTGCTGCAGGAGCAGCCCCCACTCTGGCCGTGTTTTGTGAGCTGGGGATGATCCCAGGGCTGCCTCTCCTGTGCTGCTGTCACCCCTTCCTGCCTCTGCCCAGGGCAAACGCACGGTGTTGTAATTTACAAGTGCCCTGTGCGTGTCACTGCACAGACCTGAGTCTGTTCTCGGTCACTTCTTAATGTTTTCTGCAGTGGCCCCACTCTGTTGTTTGTTATTCCCAGTACTCCGAAACAATCCAGGAAATGCAGCAAACACCCCAGCCCTGGTTCCCATCCTGTCCAGGATCTGACCTCTGGCAGTGGTTGGAATCAGCTGCAGTATGTGGTCAGTTGATAATTACAGTACATTGTGTTTAGGAAACTGCTGGGGCTGCTGGTGTCTTGGAGGAGTGGTTGGTAGAGCCTGCAATTTGCCACTTGCAGCTGATGCACTTGTGGGAGCCCCAAGGGGTGTTTGAAAAGAGTTGAGTGTTGTGAGGGCCCTTCCAGTCACCATTCCTATGGCTATGGTGTTTCTTGAAAAGACTTTTTGTGCCTTCTCTAGTTCTGTGTTACTTGGGGCCATGCTGGCAGCTCACCTGTGCCTTTTCCACCTGGCACAAGGGGCACAAACGCTGTCCCTGACAGTGTGGGGACCTGCCACCCATGTCCTGACCAAACATCCTGTGCAGCAGGTGTGTGCAGCAGCAGGGACAGCTCTTTGGGCTGTAGTCTCCTCGTGTTTCTCCTTTGCTGGCTCTCCTGGACCTGCTCAAGTGTCTGCTGCAAGCTGCTTTAGAGTAACTTCCCTGTGGTGCTGGGCTTCAGAGGTGAACTGTTATTGTGGGAAACAGGGAATGTCTCCTTTGTGTCCTGTGCAGGAGGGAGGAGAGCTGTGGGGTAACAGGTGCTAAATGAATGATGAATCTAAACTCATTTATGCCTTTTTTCTTTGTACCCTCTTCCCTTGTAGCCCTCCATGGGGATTCCGATTGCTGCAGTGACACCCCATGAGGGCTGGGATGGGGTGGTGGGAGCAGGCAGCTGTCTCAGGGGTCTATGGCTTCTCCAGAATTGAGGAGATGGGTCTCCCCAGCAGTGCTGCTGACACTGTCACTCCTGTCACAGCCTTTCTTCAGGCTCCTCAACCTGCGCAAGCTGGGCCTGAGCGACAATGAGATCCAGAGGCTTCCCCCCGAGGTGGCCAACTTCATGCAGCTGGTGGAGCTGGACATCTCCCGCAATGGTAAGGCCAGAGCTGGGCAGGGGCAGGTGGCCAAGCCCTGCAGTGCTCAGGAGAAGCTGTGCCCTTCCTCCTCCATCCCTCAGGGCTCCTCAGCTGTGACAGTGGGCTTCTATTGCCACGTCTCAGGCTGTCAGCACTACCAGCTGTCCCATTTCCTCAAGCATCTTTTGTTCTTTCACCTGTTTTTCCCAGACATTCCAGAAATTCCTGAAAGCATCAAATTCTGCAAATCCCTGGAAATCGCAGACTTCAGTGGGAATCCTCTCTCCAGGTAGGAAAGCATGTGCTACCCATTAGTCCAGCTGAGAAGGAGAACTGGAATTGCACATTTTCCCTGCCTTTCTCTGATCTTCATCTTGTCTCACTGTGAAGCCAAGGCCTGGGATTGCCCTGCCCCTTCCAAAGCTGCAGGTGTCTGCTCTGCAGGCAGGTGGAATGCTTGGTGCTGGGAGGAGCTGCTGTGTGCTCCATCCTCGGGGCCTGTGGCTGCCAATTGTTGTCCTGGTGTCAAGCGTGAGGACTTTTGTCCTCTTGCAGTGAGCTTGTGGCTCCCTCTGCACTGGTCACAAACCAGAATGGATATGGGCTTCTGCTGCAGAGGAGAAAAAGCCTGCATGCCATCCTCTGCACCCCTTTTGGGGCTCAGAGCCCCTTTTGGGCCCCACTCTCAGCCCTTTTTTGCCCCCTCTTAGCCCCATTTCCACGTCTCTTATTCAGAACTGAGGACAGCCATGCTTTGAACCCTGTGTTTGGTTGTTTCCCCTCTTACCTCAGTGTCCAGAGCTGTGCCCAAGTTGGAATCTCTGACTTGTCTTTCAGTGCTGTGTCTCTGGAACTTTCAATACATGAAGTTGGAATTCAGAGTGGCTCCCCCCTGCCTCGGTGTTCTCAGGCACTGTTGTTTCGCTGCTGGGGTCCCTGCAGGTGCCAGCCTGGCCCCAGGTGTCCACTTCCCTTTGTGCTCAGGGCAGGTGCTGTCCAGCTTTGGGGCACATTTCATTCTGCTCCCTCTCCTGGTCCCGGGCACTGCTGGAGTGGGACAAGCTTCTCTGTTGGTGACAGTCCTGTACCACAGGAATGACCAGCACTTCAGGTGTTGTTTGTCAGAGCTTTTGTGGCTCAGGGTTCAGATGAGTGTCTTGCTTTGAAAAGACAGGTGTCTGCTAAGGAAGGCAGGAGCCTCCCCTGAAATGGAAAAATGTGAGCCCCACCCCCAAATTATTATAATGTTGAAATCAAGGGGCTCTCAGGCAAAGATATGGGAATAGGAATAACAGTTCTTCACTAGGAAAATTAAAACAAATGTGCAGTAGTACAAAAAAAGCCACTGTCAGAGTCAGAATCCACCCTGACACCCTGTTGGGCAGGGTGTTGGGAGCAGTCCATTAAATGGTGGCTGCAGTCCTGGAGTGACAGACGTGGTTCTGTTGAAGCAGTGATCCCATAGAAAGGGTGCAGTTTTCCTGTGAAGGTCCAGTGGTGGTGTAGATGGGTCTGGTCTCTCCTCTGGGATCCAGTGGAGAAAGGCTGGCCGCAGTTTTCCAAGGCTCAGATTATATCCAGGCAGGAATGCTGGGCTCCTCCCCCTGGCTGGAGTATCTCACCATGGGATGATGGCATTTTATCAGTCCTGCAGTGACACTCAATTGGCCCATTAGCACAAGCTATGCCCCTGGAGGGAGGATGGGTCCTGGAAGAGATAAAGAACACTGCCACACCTGGTTTTAACAGCTGGTAATAGAATATTGGTTACAGCTTGCACTGCAAGAAAGTAAGTTGGGAGGGTTTATGAGCTTCCTGTGGAAGCAGAATTTCCTCTTTCAGGGTTTTTCCCTATTCTGTCACACCTTGGGTCTGTTGTGATGGTGCTTCCTGGGGAATGCTGCAGTGTCATCTGCAGAGATATCCTTGCACTTGGAATGCTTGGGAGCCCTCCTTTCCTCCAAGTGTCAGTGGTCCCATGGCATGGTTCAGGCTGGGATTTGTGCTCAAGTCCTGCAGAGCTGAGTGTGCACACCTGGACAGGTAATGTCTGGTGCAACAAGGGCGTTTTGTGGTCTTGGCAGCAGAACTTGTCCTGGATCAGCAGCCAGGGTTAGTGATGGTTCCTGCTCTTCTCCTTCCCACATGTTGATGCCAATTGGGATGAGATTGGCAGGATTTAAGTATTTTGTGGGATTCCATGCTTTGCACACAGGATTAATGGAGTTTTGTTCATGTTCTCACAGGCTCCCTGAGGGCTTCACCCAGCTCCGAAGCCTGGGCCACTTGGCCTTGAACGATGTGTCCCTGCAGAGCCTCCCCACTGACATTGGGAAGTGAGTATGGCCCTGTTCTGGCAGGGGCTGGGCTGGGACACCTGGCAGGTGGGATGAGGACAGTGGCAGGGCCTGGAGGGGCAAACCAGGCGCAGCTTTGCCCTGGTGCTGACCGTGCTGTGTGAGCACTTCCGAGCCTTGGTTTGTTAAGAGACCTTCCTACAGAGGTTTCTGTCCTGGTCCCAGCTGCTTCGCCTGCTGTGGTTGGTGGCACAGCAAGGATTGATCCAGCCTTCTCAAATCCTGTCTCTCCCTGTGTTCTGAGTGCCCATTTGCCCCTTTCCTGGCAGGTGTGGGCTGCCTGATGATGTTTGATTCAGATTTATGCTGCTGGCCTCATGGGGTGCCGTGCTCTCCCATGGACTTTGGTTTCCACATGTGAGGGATTTGACCTCTTTGGGCAGAGTCCTGTGGTGACAGCCTGTTCCTTGTCCTGAGTGTGGGCACAGTGTTGTTCCTGGTGGCTGCAGCAAGCACTCACATCCACCAAAGCCGTTTACATCTGTGCTGTTTCTGTTCCCCCATCTCCATCCACGTGTGCACGTTCACGCATTGCACAGGACATGAGGGGTGGTTCCAAGGGAAGGGAGATGAACAGCTCCTTTTATCCCTGAAGCCCTATCCAGTGAACCTGGCTTTCTTGCTCCCTTTTCTCTTGCAGTTTGGCAAACCTGGTGACTTTGGAGCTACGTGAGAACCTGCTAAAGACTCTCCCCACGTGAGTGTCTGTCTGGGGGCTGTAGAATTCTCCTGCCTGGTCCTTCTTGCTGCTTCCTCAGGGACCGGTGCAGGCACCATCACTTGGCTGGGGAGGGCTCAGGCTGGGCATAAATAGGCTGCATCTTGCTGAATTTCCATAAACTGGGGCGAGGAGGGAGAGGATGGTGCAGGGCTGGAGAACAGCAGAGGATGTTTGGAGCCTGTTCTCAGCCTGTGTAAGGATTGATTTAGAATAGACAGAGTTCCCAAAAAGTGCTGCTGGAAATAGTGAGAACCATTTCCCCTGAAGAGGTGGAGCAGACAATGGATTCTTTTGGAAAGAAAGAGAGAACTGTGGATGGGGATGTAGGAGGAGCTCTGTGCACAGTGAGGTTCAGGATTTGAAGAGCAGCAGGGTACAGCTGAAGGTTCCATTTTGCTTCTGACATCTGCTCTGTTGGATATCCCTCCTGGTTGTTCTGGGTGGGATAACTGCCTTCCTAAGCCAGCAAGGGGGAAGAGGTAAGTGTTGTTCCACGTCCTGGAGCTAGGGATAGGGATGAGTTCCTGGCAGGGAACATGATTGCTGGAGGAAATGCTCTCAGCTGGATGGATGTGGAGAGCTGTCCAGTTGCTACTTCAGTCTTTGCTTTGGCCCATCAGAGTTTGTTGAGTTTTCTACCCTCCATCAGCTCTGTCAGCTTGTTTCCTGCCTGCCTATGCATCCCACTGATTATTCCCCCAGCTTTCCTTGGGTGCCATTGGAAGGGATTCTGCCCAACTCCTTTTTGAGCAGCAGTTGTTCAGGGGCCACATGAAGTCCTCAGTGAGGGTGTGATGTGTGCAGCTGTTGTCACCTGTCCTCAGAGCTCTCCTACTGTTCCTGGCAGGAGCTCAGTTTGTCTGCTGGCACCAGTTAGAGCCCGTGGAAGCAGGGATCAGAATCACACCATCGCCCTGCCCAGTGCCTGTCAGCAGATCTGCTCTGCACACCAGTGACCCTGTGACAGAGCCGTGACAGGAGGGGGCAGCTGAGATGGTCCCCTGTGGAGTATCACCAGTGTGAGAGTTAGAGCCTCTTGTCACAGAACCCCAGGATGGTTTGGGTTGGAAGGGACCTTAAAACTCATCGTGTTGCAGCCCAGTGCCTCGGGCAGGGACACCTTCCACTAGACCAGGTTGCTCCAAGCCTCTTCTAGCTTGGCCTTGAGCTCTCATTCTGGGCTGAGAACTGGCGAGCAGGAGGAGTTTGTGTCCTGGTGTTGGGCTGCTCTTCTGCCTGTTCCTGTCCTGGGTGTTCATACAGGCAGCTGCCACAGCTGCACCACGTCAGCAAGGAGGTGCAATAGCTTCACCCAGGGCTGGGCTCCCACACTGCAGTCAAGATAATCCCAGCAGCTTTTGGCCATCTCGGGACCATGGAGTCTCTGGAGTCTGGAGAACTCAGTCTGTGACCACACCCCTGGGTTTTCCTGGAGATCTCTCTTGCCCACTGTTGCCATGTTGCCCTTTGGTAGATCTGGGTGCCATCCAGCAGGATACTTGTAGTGGGCCATGAGGTTTTGGTGTTTTTCACTGGAAGGTTAATCCAGACTTAATTCATCCTGTAATGCAAATTCAGCTTTTTTTTTTCATCTTTCCCCAATCCCCCAAATTCTATTTTGGGATGATTTCCAAAAGTAGGATGTGGATCTTGAAGGCCAAGGTAATTCTGAGCAGATGTATCAGTCAAATACAAGATGGCAGGCGATGGCCAAAATCATTTCAGTGGTGCTGGGGGGTTCTCTGCCTCAGGCTCTGGTACTTTGGCTGTAAGAACAGCTCTCAGTGAGATCAGGTGACCTTGCCAAAGAGGAGAACAACTTGAGCAAAAAATGGCTGTTGCTTTGTTGCCAGGGTTCCTGAGCCCAGTGGATAGGTGGGCTTCAACGCTGAGAATTTGGGGCAGAATAATGCATCAGTGTCCTTTTGGTATTTTTCTGCTGTAGAGCTTCTTGAAAGATCCAGCTTGCAGTGACTTCTGTTTGCCAAGATTCCATTTCATTGGTCAGTCTCCTGATACTGACTGAGTTCTGGAAGGTTCAGCTTGTCCAGCTGGTGATCACCCCTCGTTTCTCCCACGCAGATGGGAGGCAGCCAGGGGCTTGGGAGGGGCAGCTCTCGTGTGCTCTTATGGAATAGAGGAGGTTGATCTATACTGAGACCTTTTGCTAGATGGCATCAATGTGGATTCCACAGCTCACTTGTTCCTGTTTTGGGAATTCAAGCTGTGAAAGTGCAAAGGAACAGTCAAGGCTGCATCACCTTCAGAGGAGTTAGAGTTGACATATATTCATGGTGAAGGAGTGCTGTGCAAGAGGATCCTTTGGATGAAACTGCTGATAAAGCTTTGCTGGAATTTATCTCAAAATCCACCACTGCATGCAATAGGAAATTAATTTTCCTGCATAAACCAGATGTTTTTACAGCCTGGCCCAGGGAAGACAGCTCCCTCTTATTGCAGCTCCCAACAGCCTTGGTAGGGGTGGCCCTCAGAGGCAGACCTGTTTCCAGAGAAATGTGGGGGTTTCTCTACTGGAACGGTTCCTGAAGAAGAGAATAAAGCTGTTCCCTGCTGGGGAAGTGGGCAGGGCTGGCCCCTGGAACACGGTGAGGGGCAGCAGTCCTCTGGGGAGGTGGAGCTGTGGTTGATGGGTTAGACTCAGGTGTGAGGACAAACGAGCACCTGGAACATGTCCTGAGAACCCAGCCCTGGGTTTGTGGGACTGCAGGCCTTGTCCACCCCCAGGTGTGGTGGATGGGGAGCTTGGGGCACATCCATGGGCTGCAGGTCCTGTGCAGTGTCTTCATCGTGAGCTTCTGTCTGTACGCGGTCACCTCACCTGAGACATCAGGCCACTGCTGTCTTCCCTTCCTCTCCAGCAGCATGAGCATCCTGTCTGGGGAAACAGGCTGCTGAGTTTGTCATTGCTCCCTGTCCCTGCAGCTGTGCTCCCCCTGCCCCCCAGCCGTGTCCTGTCCTCTGCTGTTGCCTGTCAGTCCAGCCCAGGTCCCTGCCCTTGCTGCGCAGCAGGCAGCGACGTGAGGTGTGGCTGGTCATCTGTGATGGTTTTAATCAAAGGATATGTTGTGGTGGGAGGGGGAGAAGGCAAACTGGTGCCAGTGGAACCGGGACTGCTGGTGCCTCTGAGCCCAATTCCCTGGGGCGAACGGTCTGGCTCGGGGAAGGGACCAGCTCTACAAACGGTTGGGCTCAGAGGGACCGTGAGAAAGGTCAGGATTGCCCCACCTGCTTTAGGAGTTACTAGAGACCATGTGATTTATGCAATGTGTGTCCCAGATGCTAACCTTCCGCTCTTTATTTCTTGTTTTATCTCTCTGTCCCCTGTGCCTTGCAGTTCACTCTCCTTCCTTGTCAAATTAGAGCAGTTGGATCTCGGTGGCAATGACCTGGAAGTACTGGTAGGTGAGGGCTGGTGGGGAGGGATTTGGGTGGTTGGCAGGGGCAGATCCTGCACCTTGGTGCAGGCAAGTGCATTTCCACCTAAAATGCAAAGAAATAGACCCTCAGGTTATTTGGGGAGATTCTGATCTGCCCAGCATGGCCCAGTCATCATTCCCAGATAAATTTTCTCTTCGTTTGTCAGCCCTTATGTCTTGTGTCCTGCTGGCCTCTCACACTGCCTGCTCTGTCCTTCCCAGGCTCTGGGATGGTAATTCTTCCTGTCTGGCTGCCAAGGATCTTTCCTTTCCAGCAAGACTCTGGTGCTTCCCTTCTCTGTCCTGCACTGCCCCCAGCTGTTTTTCTTCTCCTCCAGCTTCCTGCCTTTCTCCTTTCTGTTCTGATTTCTGCCCCACAGAGTGCTGGGCCATTCCATGTGGTCCATGGCAATGAGGGTAGCCCAGTGTGGGGGCTCTCTCCATGGAGGGCCCAGCACGTGCTGAGCAAGGGCACAGTGTCTGAATTCAGGTTATCTGGGCTTTTGGGGACACCCCGTGATGTTCTGTAAATTTGTGGCTGTGGATTAAGCTATTACTGGATCTTTCTTACTCTTTGTGTTCTGGAATGGGTTTTGGCAGAAAAAGTTTGGCGTCTAAGTTGGGAGGAAAAGGGGTTGATGCAGCTTAGCTGTGCACAGGCTGAACTCACCTGTGAGAACAGGTGTGTGACACTTGAGCCATGCTCCAGTGAAGCAAAGGCCAAACCCAAATGCTGATTGCTTGGGGGGGTTGTGGCATGTGAATGTGTGTCTGTCACGGCTGGTGGTGCCACTGGGTCTTGCTGAGTTGGCCAGTGGTACCCAGATGTTTATTTTCATGTCTGAGAGGAAGAAGATGCATTTCTTCTGTAAGGCCAGAATTTCCAACCTGCTAGAATAATGGAATTATTTAGGTTAGAAAAGCCATCTGAGACCCACTGAATTCAACCACTCTCCCAACATTCCCAAGGCCACCCCTCACCCGTGTCCCCAAGTGCCACACACAGCTGTTGAGTCGCCCAGGGGTGGGGACTCCACCTCTGCCCAGCTGTGCTGGGGCTGGACAGCCCTTTCTGGAAAAAGATTTTCCCAGTATCCAAAGTAAACCTTCCGTGGCACAGCTGGAGACCATTTGCCTTTGTCCTGCCCCTAGTTCCCTGAGAGCAGAGCCTGACCCCACCTGGCTCCATCTTCCTGTCAGGGAGTGACATAAAGCAAGATCTTCCCTCTCTCCCAGCTCCCTCAGCTGCTCTCCATCAGAGCTGTGCTGCAGGTTCAGTTCTTGCCTTGCCTGCTGACACAGTCACAGTGTGTCAGTACAATAGTGTTTTCATCTGTGTTTCCCACTGGAGCTGCTGCAACCAGTGGGCCATCCCAGGCGTTCCCAGACACGGTGCTGCTCTCTGGTAATGATCCATGGATGGTTCTGGCAGGGCTGAGAGGCAGAGCAGTGCCTGGCTGTGCAGAGAGTGGTGCTATTTGCAGTATCCTGGAGCAGCTTCTCCCTGTCCCTGGAAGGGACCGGTGTCAGCTCTGTCCTGTCTCCTACAGCCGGACACTCTGGGCGCGCTCCCAAACCTGCGCGAGCTCTGGCTGGACCGGAACCAGCTCTCGGCCCTGCCACCGGTGAGTGTCTGCTCAGCACCCACCCTGCCCTCTGCCCCTGCCCCAGCTGCTCCCTGAGCCCTGGGCTCTCCTCTCTGATCCAGGAGCTGGGCAACCTCCGCCGCCTGGTCTGTCTGGATGTGTCTGAGAACAAGCTGGAGCAGTTGCCCAACGAGGTCAGTGGGCTGGTGGCACTGACGGACTTGCTGCTGTCACAGAACCTGCTGGAATGCATTCCAGATGGGATTGGTGAGTATTGTCACCACTGCAGGACTCCTGGAGGAGCTCCAGGAAAGAGTGTCTGTGGCAGGGAATGAGGGATTGGTGGACATGGGCACAGTCATCGAGAGCAGAAGCAGTGGGTGGTGCAGATGAACAGAACTCTGCAGAGAGTTCAGGGGCTTCATCTGCATCAGGCGTGTGAGGCCTGTGAACAGGCCTGGTGGGAGGAAAGGCAGAGCCTGCGTGGTTGGGTTGTGTGATCCTTGATGGGATCACGGCCAGGTGAGTGTACAGCAGCATCCTTCTCTCTGGCACAGCTCACACCTAACTTGTCACCCTGGACAGGTCAGCTGAAGCAGCTCTCCATCCTCAAGGTGGACCAGAACCGGCTGACAGACATGACAGAATCGATTGGGGACTGTGAAAACCTGTCAGAGCTCATCCTGACTGAGAACATGCTGACGGTGAGAACACAGCAGCCGCCTGTCTCTGCCATGCTGTTCACTGCAGCCAGCTGCAGGGTTCCCTCCCCATCTTCTGCCCTCCAGGCTAAATTCCTGGGCACGCTCCAGCTGCTTCTGTACACTTTCACCACGTTCATTGATGTTTGGAAGCTGCTTTCTCTCACTGATTTTTTTCCCCTGAAACATTCTGGGGGGTAGCAGGGATGCTGGGATTGTCCATCCCAAAGACCATCCTGGCTGACAGGTGCAAGACCGTGTCCCAGGCTGCGTTGGTGAGAGGTTTGGGTTATGACTGAAAATGGCCCTGCTCTAAACTGCCTGGTGATTTGACTGGTTAAACTGAAAGACTGGGAATGAGCAGATAAACAGAAGGGAAGTCTGACCAGCAGTGGTTGGAGTGTGCTGTGCTGTGTTGAGGGGAACAGTTGGCATGGGTCAGTCTGTGAGCTTGAGGGAAAACCTGTCCCAAAGATGCCCCACGAACGTTCTCCCAAATGCATCTGTTGGGACAGAAGGCAGCTTGTTCCCCAGACAGAGGGCTTTGTGCCTTTACTTGTGCTGGCCTTTCCTCTTGCAACCACTGATTTGGCTCCTTCCCAGGCCTTGCCCAAGTCCCTGGGCAAGCTGGCCAAGCTGACGAACCTGAACGTGGACCGGAACCGGCTGACGGCGCTGCCAGCAGAGATTGGGGGCTGTGCCAACCTCAGTGTCCTGTCTCTGCGGGACAACCGCCTGGCCCTGCTGCCCCCTGAGCTGGCCAACACCACGGAGCTCCACGTCCTGGATGTGGCTGGGAACAGGTGAGTGGCAGGAAGGTGAACAGGCTGGGAGGCAGATGCTGAGCCTTCGTGGATCCCAGGATCCACGGTGTGGAAAAGCCCAGGCTGGCTGCTGAGGGCTTGGGCTTTGCCTATGAACCCCTTCTCTGTCACCTAAACACAGGGTAGAGGTCAGGTACAAGTGTGAGGGCATTTTATCATGTGTGAAATAGAGATCAGGGGAAGACCCTGGTCACTGGCTTCCTTTCCTTCCTGCAGATTTTGTGGGTTTGTGTCATTAGTCCTCAGGGGGTCGGTGCCAAAGCCTCCTTCCTGGTGTGCAGGCAGCTGTTCTGAAGGGTCCTGTGGTTCTGTTCACTGGGGTTGGGATTTCTGGGAGCAGCTGGACGCTGACCAGAGGTTCTGCAGGAAACATTCTATACACTGGTCTGTGAGAGTATTGGTTTACTCTGTTAGGGTATTGGTTTTCTGTTTCTAAACCCCTCCACACGGTTGGAGGGAGTTGTCCTCTGGTGAGGATGGGGTAGTGGAGCCCAGTCCACAGCCATGGACAAAATCAGCTGTTGCAGAGGGCAGGACTGGGGGATCCACAACACTCTGGCTCTGTTCCTCTCTGTTCAGCTGGGGCAGTCTGGAGCTGTGGGGAAGCTCCTTCCTGGCTAGGTAAATGTAACATGCAGTTGCTCTTCTCTTTTGCAGGCTGCAGAACTTGCCCTTTGCTTTGACAAATCTTAATCTGAAAGCCCTGTGGCTGGCAGAAAACCAGTCCCAGCCTATGCTGAAATTCCAGACCGAGGATGATGAAAAGACAGGAGAAAAGGTTCTTACTTGCTACCTGCTGCCCCAGCAGCCCTCTCCCAGCCTGGGTAAGAATCTGTATCACAAGTGCTGGCTGCAGAGCCTTGTGCTCTGGAGGGGGCTGAAGCCTTGAACCTTCTCTGCTGGGTTGGACTGTCCCTTGCTGTGACTCCTGTAGCAGATCTGGGCTCTTGTATCCCTGGGACATCCTTCCCAGGCAGTGATGGTTAAATTGAGGAATTGCTTTCTGCCAGGTGATAAGGCCCTGCAGCCTCATCTTTGATTGTTCTGCTTGGATCTACTGACCAAGATAGTTGGATAATAATTTTCATTATCCTGTCAGCATGGTATTCCTGCCTTAATTCTATTTTTTTCTGCACTTCTTGGGTAAGGACCGCTCGAGCTGAAGCAGCAGATGCTTCCCTGGAGGCTGCTGTAGGTCTGGTGGGAGGCGTGCAGAAGGTGGCAGGATGTTGAGGCCACAGTCTTTGTCCTCAAGGGTTCTGATTCCATGGGCAGATACAACAGAAATGCCCTAATGGGATAAGAACTCACTTCCATCTCAGTCTGCAACCCTGCTCTTCCCAGAACGAGCTCCCACTGTGTTCTCCTTCTCCCCAGAGAACCTCCTGCAGAACAGCGTGGATGAGAGCTGGACAGACACCAACTTGAACAGAGTCAGCGTGATCCAGTTCCTGGATGAGCCCAAAGGAGATGATGATGAGGAGTCTGGAGCTGAAAGACGAGTAAGAAATTCCTGGTGGCTTTTTGGCTCCCTGTGGAAGCACAGGGACAAGCTAAGCTTTCCAAAGGTGGGGAGCCACTGGGTGAGGCTGCTGCAGACATTTGCAAAGTCTGTGTTTCCAGAGTCTGAAGGCCATTTGGTGCCCTGGGGACCCAAGCAGTAGTGAAAGGGAACGAATTCCCTGGGAGCCAAGGTGCAGAGTCATATTTTGAGGCTCTCCTACGGGACTGGAGTGCCCAGGGAGCACTCAAAACGTCCAGAGGTCCAGTAGAGTACTGTCATGATTGGGTTTTAGCTCACCTCCACGTGGGGAAAGGCTGCCCTGCCAAACCCAGGCCATCCCATCCCTCCAAGCATGGAGGCAGTGCAGTGTCCTGTAGGAAAAGTACTAAGCACTGTCGGCAGCCTCAAAACCTGCAAGAGATTGTTGTGCTTCCAGTGCAGATGCAAAGGCCAGGACAGAAGTTTCCAGCAAGTGCTCCAAGGGTTTCAGTCTCTTGCAGGACTTTATTCCTTTCTACTTTATGGAAAGCCATCCTTGAAATCTGAATCCTTCTAATGAATGGTGCTTGCAGCCATCCTAGCAGTGTGTGTGTGCTGCTGGCATTGGGAGGTTTGGGGTTTTTTTGAATATTTTTTAAACGTTGTTATTAGTTTAAGACTGCTGGTTATCTTGACTCTCTACCTGGGATGGAAATCACTAAGCAGCACCAATTCTGGTGCTTTTGGGCTTGGCAGACCTGTTAAGTCCAGAGGAATTAGGAAGATACCCCAAGATTTCTCACCTGTGTTCTGGAGGAGTTTCTGTCTCGATAGTTTTTCATTCACTAAGCCTGATACACCACTTTAAACTTCCCAATTCTGTCATTCTTCCTGAAGCCACTGTCAGCTGGAGAGCAGGATGGTGTCCAGAGAGCTGTCAGGGTTCCCTTTCTCTGTCCTTTCACCTTCCCAGCTGCAGGCTGTGTAAGGCCTGGGGCAGACCAGCAGCAGGATGTGTTGGTCTCGTCCCCTGTGGCTCTGGCTCTCTGATAAGGGTGTCAGTTGCCTGCAGAGGTTCATTCCCGTGGCCTGGCATGTGCTGCCAGGGCTGGAATCCCCTTCCTGAGGGTTTCACTTTGCCAGGGCCTGCAGCGCCGAGCCACCCCTCACCCCAGCGAGCTGAAGGTGATGAAGAAGGTGATTGAAGTCCGGCGCAATGAGGTGAACGCTGCGAAGGCTGATGCCAACCCCAAATCTCCCAACTCAGAAGTGAGTGCTGGGGATGGATAACCACAGAGAACGTGGGATCATGGAATGGTTTGGGTTGGAAGAAATCTTACACACCATCCAGTTCCACCTCCATGCCATGGGCAGAGACATTTCCACTGGGAACATGTAGCATATGTGGGAAATGGGGAGGTGGAGAGGATTGAGTTTGGGGAAAGATTGGGAGGGACTGAGAATGGATTGCCTGGGAAGGTTGGGAATCTGCCTTGAGGTGTCATGGGGGCCTGTGAAATAGAGCAGGAGACAGAGAGCAGTGTAAGGGGAACCGTGTGTGTCGGTACCAGGTTTGTCACAGCACAGGGAGGAGAAGGGAAGGATCTGATATTCCCAGTAAAGAGTGATGGGAACAGAGCGCTTGGAGGAGGCACCTTTCTGCCCCGGTGGGAGCTGAGAATAAATGCCTGCTCAGGAGGTGGAGCAGGGTGGACCCAGGTCCCATGGAGAGAGCTCAGGAGGGGAAGCTGTGGGCAGGCTGGGGAGGAGCTGGTTCTGCTGGTGCTGCGTCATTCACAGCTCCCAGCAGTCACTGCACGCTCCGTCCGCTGCTCTGTTCCGTGCTGACCATCACAACCCTGTTCTCAGGAGAAGAGGCTGAGTGCCACTTCAAATCGCAGCGAGGACTCTCACCTGTCCACCAGCACCGCCTCTGTGGACTGCAGGGCAGAGGAGAGGGAGCGGGGCTGGCCCAACGGGCAGCTGCCTGACCTGCGGGAGCTGGAGAAGGAGGTGAAGCCCAGAGCGGAAGAGGAGCGCAAGGAAGCTGCTGACCAGGAGGAGGAAGATGTGGAAGTGGAATACAATGAGGTAGGAGCCTGGGAACTGCAGCAGGGTCATGAGAAAGAGTGAAAGGACCTGGAATTTTTAGGGGAAGTGGGAAGTAGGTGTACAGGTAAATGGATGTGGGATTTGGGCATCACTGGAGGCAGATCCAGCCTGTGGAAGGCGGTGCAAGCAGAGACCAAGGCAGCTTTTGGGAGCTGCACACGAGCTGGGTGGACTGGACAGTGGGGGAGCCAGGCAGGCTGAGGGAGAGCTGGGGTGACCGTGAGAGGTTTGAATGGCCTCCATCCCTGGACATGACAGGAGCATGTCCGGGGGAAGGCGTGGCTATGGAAAAAGGCAAGGATGGGGAAGTGGTGATCCATTCCTGCATTTTCCTGAGCACACAGGTGGTGACACTGGCTCTGCCTGTGCCGGGAGAGGGGTCACAGGGCCAGCAGGTTCTTCTGTGCTGCCACCCCTCTGTTCCATGGGGCTGATGGCATGTCTGGGGCTCTGCTGTCACAGCCTTCTGTACACTTCGCGGAGGACACGCTGATCCGGAGTGAGGATGAGGATGAGGATGAAGAGCGACCGTTCCCAGTAGAGAAGCAGAGGCTTATCCGCAAGGACACTCCCCATTATAAGAAACACTTCAAGATCACTAAACTGCCCAAGCCAGAGGCAGTGGTGGCACTTCTGCAGGGGCTGAACAGTGATGGGGTCCCCAAAGAGGAAGAGGAGTTGGGAGGCTGCAATAATAACACAGAGCCCAGGGATCAGGAGGAAGCTTGGGATGAGGATGACAGAAAGAATGGAGCTTTGTCTGCTCAGCCATCCGTGAAGGTAAGGTTTTGTGGGGAGGGGGAAGTCAGAGGGACGCAGACCTGCCCTCTGCTCCTGTGGCCGAGCAGCCAGGTTGATGTGGTACTGATGAAACCACTGGCAAGAGGCTGCAGCACTGGGGGATGTGCTGAGGGTGGGAGAGCTGAAGGGCACTGGGGGCTCAGAGGGTTGTCAAAGAGCTGTGCTGTGTTGCTGTGTCTGACACTTCGGCTGTACCCAGGTCCTTGCACCATCCCCATTCCATGTGCTGTTCCTTGTGCTGCAGGGACAGGTCTCTGTCTCTTCACTGCTGGGTTCTGCTGCTCCTTCCAGCCTCCTCCTCACTTGCTGGTTGTTGCTGCTGGTTCCCAGGAGGATGAGCTTTATCCCTGTGTGGATTCAATCTTAGACTGGCATTTGGGCCACTGACACTTGTTGGCACAGTGCTTCCTGGAGCATTGAAGTGCAGCCAGGAGTGGGCCCTTCCCTGTGCTCCCACCCAGACACAGCCTGATGGAGGGTTCACTGGGATTTAGGGGAGCCCATGCTCTGAAGTTTTGGCCTTACTGGTTATACTGGGGCTTAAGAGATAAGGGGTCCCTGGCTCTCTTCAGCTGAACCACCACGTTTGGTTTGGGACACACAGGAGTTCCTGCTTGAGGAGGTTCCTCACAATGGAAAGGGAATACGTGAATGAGGGACACTTCATGAGACCAGCCCAATTCTCACCCGAGCTGGTTTGGAGGTTTTGAGTTGTATTTGGTGGGCATAGGCCAGGATGTGGCTGAGTCTCCATCGCAATCTGACATCAGCAAATCTCAGGGGTGAGATGTGGGTCTCTGGTTGTGGAAGGTGCCGGAGTCAGATCTGTTTCTGCTGTAACTGCACATGCTCCAGGGTACCAGGATCACCCCTGTCCCTCCTGGAGCTCAGGTTGCCCAGGGAAAGGTCCTTCCCCTCACTTGGCTGTGGAGCCTGTCCCTCAGTGGATGCTTGCCTTGCTCTGTTTGAGCCGATGCAGAAGGGATATTTGAAGTCCCCTTCATCCAAGACCTATCATAATTGGGAATGCCCTCACTCAAAAAGGTTCTTTTATCTGGAGACTCAGAGCTGAGGAGGCACTGACCCCCTGGCAGAGCCTGTGATGCCTGCTCAGGAGTAGGGGAGCTGTCAGAATTTACCCTGGCTGGCAGCTGAGCCCCCTGCCTGGGACTCAGTTGTCCTTTCTGTGGGGCAGGTTGGATGCCTGCTCCATGGCAGGAGGTTCATTAGCTGCCTTCTGAGCTGAGCAGGAGTGGGGATGGAGGGAGCAGTGTCCCTATGTAGGGAGTGCAAGGGGTGCACTGAAGGACAGGCTGTGCAGGAGGCTGAATCCTAAAATCACAGGGTTTTGTTGCAAGGAAAATTTGCTTTCAGAAGAAATCCTGAGGTTTCCTGTGCTTGAGAGCAGGATGTACTCTTTCACCAGAGAAGAGGATTGTGCAGTTGTGTTTGAGACTGCTCATTCCTGTGCAGCAGCTTGTGGCACCACAGGCTCCTTGGTGCTTTCTCCTGTGTTTAACCCTTCCTCTTCCTGGAGTGACTTGGGGTGGAGAAGATGAGGTCAGCTAGTGCTGGACAGCTCAGGGGCCAGGGCCTCAGGGTGCCAGCATGAACTAAACCTGGCCTTAGGGGTTCTCCTTGGCAGGAGTGTGCTGGCCCTTGGCACTCGGGGAGGCCACGAGCAGCCCTGGCACTGCAGAGGTGCTGAGCAGGCGAGGGGGCAGCTCTGCTGCTCTGGAGCTGTGGTGTCAGTGGGCTCAGCTGCAGAGCTGTGGGGTCAGGAGTGACTCTGGGAGCTGTGGGGTCAGGAGTGACTCTGGGAGCTGTGGGGTCAGGAGTGACTCTGGGAGCTGTGGGGGTCAGGAGTGTCTCCAGGAGCTCCTGAGGTCAGCAGTGTCTCCAGGAGCTCCTGAGGTCAGCAGTGTCTCCAGGAGCTCTGGAGGTCAGGAATGTCTTCCAGGAGCTCTGGAGGTCAGCAGTGTCTCCGGGAGCTGGATCAGCCCCAGTGCTCTGGAGGTCAGGAATAATGTCTGCAGGAGCTGTGGAGGTCAGCAGTGTCTCCAGGAGCTCCTGAGGTCAGGAATGTCTCCAGGAGCTCCTGAGGTCAGCAGTGTCTCCAGGAGCTCCTGAGGTCAGCAGTGTCTCTGGGAGCTCCTGAGGTCAGCAGTGTCTCCGGGAGCTCCTGAGGTCAGCAGTGTCTCTGGGAGCTGGATCAGCCCCAGTGCTCTGGAGGTCAGCAGTGTCTCTGGGAGCTCTGGAGGTCAGGAATGTCTCCAGGAGCTCTGGAGGTCAGGAATGTCTCCGGGAGCTCCTGAGGTCAGCAGTGTCTCTGGGAGCTCCTGAGGTCAGCAGTGTCTCCAGGAGCTCTGGAGGTCAGGAATGTCTCCAGGAGCTCTGGAGGTCAGCAGTGTCTCCGGGAGCTCCTGAGGTCAGCAGTGTCTCCAGGAGCTCCTGAGGTCAGCAGTGTCTGGGAGCTCTGGAGGTCAGGAATGTTTCCAGGAGCTCTGGAGGTCAGCAGTGTCTCCAGGAGCTCTGGAGGTCAGGAATGTCTCCAGGAGCTCTTGAGGTCAGCAGTGTCTCCAGGAGCTCCTGAGGTCAGCAGTGTCTGGGAGCTCTGGAGGTCAGGAATGTCTCCGGGAGCTCCTGAGGTCAGCAGTGTCTCCGGGAGCTCCTGAGGTCAGGAGTGTCTCTGGGAGCTCCTGAGGTCAGGAGTGTCTCCAGGAGCTCTGGAGGTCAGGAATGTCTCCAGGAGCTCCTGAGGTCAGCAGTGTCTCTGGGAGCTGGATCAGCTCCGCGTGGCGTGCGTGTGTTGGGTGGTGGTGGTGGTCGTGGTGGCGGGTTTGGTTGATGCTCCACTAATCCGCATGCCTCTTTGCTGGTTCCTGTCCTAACAGGGGGTGTCGTTTGATCAAGCCAATAATCTGCTGATTGAACCTGCTCGCATTGAGGAGGAAGAGGTCTGTACCACTCCTACTGTTCTCTCTCTGCCAAAAATCATCCAGCCTGCTTGATTTGCTTCCCAGCCTCACCCATTGTTGTAGGGGGAGCTCTGATCTCTCTAGGTCAAGTGGCTTCTGGACCTGGCTTATCACAAACATGATGATTGTTTCCTCCTTGCTTTCCCCTTTTCCTCCTTTCCCATCCTTGAGATGAGAGTGGCTGCTGCAGAGCAGGAGTAAAGTGGAAATGATGTAAAAAGTGAAGGGCTGAGGTGGGAGATTCAGTACCTATTTGCCGTGTGTTGATGGAGAAGTGGAATTAAATAAATGGATTTTCTGGATGTGTGGGTAACCCTGGAGGAGCAGGGACCTCAAGAATCAGCCAAGTGCTGTGTACTGACCCTCTGCTAAAAGGAGGAGGATCTCACTCAGGACACAGTGCCACTGCCTGGGGAAAGTGGACCGGAGTCAGTGATTTGTGCATCTCCTGCAGCCTCCCTTGAAGCCCCTCAAGGCTTAACGTGCAGCACCTTGAGGTGTCAGAATGGGGCAGGTGGCATCCGAGGGACCACAAAGCCCCTGGCATGGGGATGGTGAGTGTGCCTGGCTCATCCTGTGGTTGTGACCATCTTCCTGTGTTGGTCTGCAGGTTTTCAGTGCCTGACCCATGGGGTCAGTACCTTTCTGCAGGCGGTTTCCCAGGAGCTGCTGGAGGCAGAGTGCTCTTGTACTGACAAGAGGCAGAAACAGCGTCCATGCTGAGAGCTTGCACGGAGATCTCTCCCACAGGACACACAGTGTAGGGCCTGGGTGTCTCTGAGAACTTGCCTCTGTTCCCTCAGGTGTAAAAGAGAGATTTTTATTTGTTTTGGAGTATGGCTTTCCAGGAGGGAGGTGATGAATCCTTTCCACCCATGCAGAGTGTGAGCTGGCTCAGGTGTGGTCCCCTGTTAGTGGATCCTGAAGATTTCTCTGTCTCTAGGTCCCTGAAAATCACATTAGTATTTCTTTCATTTCTCTTTTGCATAATCTTCTGATCCTGGAGGTCTGGTTTGGGCTGGTTGGAGCCCCCAGGTTGGCTCTGGTGCCCCCCCAGCACAGACCCCTTGCACAGCTCTGTTCCCATACTGTGAGGAAGAACGTGGCTGTGCAGCTCCCAAGGACCAGCCTGCTAGAGATCCCCCAGATTGGTGGTGGTGTCTGAAGTCACCCAAGAGCAGACCAGCTTTGGGAGGTTGGTTTGGAATACTTGTCCTACAGCTCTGGACAGTGCTCAGCAAGGAACCTTCCACAAGACCAGGTTGCTCCAAGCCCTAACCAGCCTGTCCTCAAACCCTTCCAAATGGCATCTGCCTGCTGTTGCCAGGGATGATTCCTTGAGAAGAATCAGTGAGCCTGGGACCCTTGAGCAGCATGGTTTCAGGTTCCTGATACTGCTATCACATTCCATATGTAATTTAGTACAGCCCCCAGAGAAAAAGGGCTACTGATTCCTGGTGGTGTGTTCCTTAATCCTAAACCATGATCGTGAGCTGCAGCCTGATGGCATTGGAGCAGAGCTGGAGAGAGATGCCCAGCCTCTGCCAGCACCCAGCCTTGGGTACAGCCAGAGTTCCTGTTCCTGTGTCAGGTGTGTGGTACCCATGGTGGTACCTGGCTCTGCTCCCGGTGTTTTGTCTCTGTCCCCACCTACCTTGCAGGAGTGGCTGTACTAGGATGTGAGAGGCTTTGAGAGGAGAAAAGCAGCGTACTGAGCACCTGTTTGATGGCACCAGGTTAGACCTGGACTCTGTTTTTGGGGAGTTCTGATGGAATAGCCTGGAAAGCTGCTGGGCAGGTTGCAGGAGCAATGGAAGGAGGGTCCCAAATTGTGTTTAGTGCCTGGTGCTGCTTTGCTGTAGCAAAGGTTGGTGCCATCCACACCCTCGGGTGTGCCCAGCCTTAACTCCTGCAGGTCCAGGAGCTGCAGAGGGTTCTGTGCTGCCAGAGCTTGTGCTGCTGGGGGGCATTGACAGGGTTTTGTCTCTTGCTCTGCCCGGGGACAGGAGCTGCCATTCCACTCCTGGGAAGGAGAGAAGGCTTCCAAAGATGCTGGATGTTGTCTTTGCTGCTGCTGCTGCTCAGGTGTCACATCCTGTTGCTCTGCAGTCAGGAGTGAGTCAAGCCTTCTCCTTGAAGGAGCCTCATCCTGTGGAAGCTCGGGAATGTCACTGATTGTGTTGGAATTGGAATATTAACTGGCCTCCAGCCTGGCACCAGTTAATGTTTGCCAGCAGCAGATGTGACAGCACAGCCTGCTGCTGCTCCTGTGCTCAAAGGCTTCTGTTTTGGAAAGGCTCCACAGGTACTGGGGAGCACTGGGATGTGCTGGGAGCCATCCTGTGCCTCCTGGAGCGTTCTGAGCTCAGGGACTCAGCTGGGGAAAGGCCAGCACAGGGAACTGGGGAGCACTGGGATGTGCTGGGAGCCATCAGAGATGTCTCTGCGTGGGGCTGCTCTTTGCTGCTGCACACATGGAGCTCTTCCCCCTGCTCTGGTTTTGCATTTATGGGGTGTGTGCTTTATCAGGGCATTGTCAGACTTAGAATTCTTAAGTAGCAAATTCAATTTTCCCACAATGTGACCCATAAATTTTAAACCTGGAAAAGTTTAATAAACCTCTTGTGTAGTGCAGGAGAGGTCACATCACCTGTGTTTGACTGGAATATGACAGAATGGAGTCTTTCTGATGTTAAAAAAAAAGATACAACTCTCCCTTTTTTCCCATTTAATTTTTCAGATTATCAAATTTCCTCTTGAGCAAAGAAAATTCTGTTTTAATTTGCCTGGTTTTTAATTTATTGCCATCAAAATGTTTTTATGACCTTTGCTACTGGATTGAAGGGTCCTCAGTGTTTTTTATAGATTCATAGAATGGCCTGGGTTAGAAAGGACCTCTTAAATGTCACCCAGTGCCACTGCCATTGGCAGCTTCCACTATCCCAGCTTGCTCCCTGCCCTGTCCAACATGGCCTTAAGCACTCTCAGAGACGGGATGGCCACAGCTTCTCTGGCAGCTGGGGACAGCGTTCTCCACCTTTTCCATGACCCTCTAGTTTGGAGGTGGGTTTGTGATCTCTTCCTGTAAATGTACAATTTCACCTGTGGACCTGTGCTGAGGCACGATTTGGACACGAGTCACCCATGAAGTGTGGGAGATTGAGGACTGATTTATGTGATTGCTGCTTGTTCCCTGTCTCAGCTCCAAGCTTTGTCTGATCCGGAGTTCTCTGACGACGAAGGAGCAAATGTGGAATGATTTCTCACACAAGTGCAGTCCTATTTGCATTTTCCTTTCCCTGCTCAAGAGTGGGGCAGGATCATTTTGGTTCTGCTCTGTTGCTCAGTCATCTCGTTGGCCTTCACAGAAACAGAGCAGAAAGCAGCAGATGGAGAGAAAATGACATGTTTAAACACAGAGCTACAGCGAGTCCAGCTCTCCCTTCCACACTGGGCAGATGCTGTGTGTTACAGACACGGGGCTTTGCTGCTTGTACCAGAGTTAGGTACAAAAGTCAGGCATTACAATAACCCCTGCAGAAATTAGGGGACTGAAGCATTAACCTGCCTGAAAACTGGTCCCTGTGTGCTGCAGCATGTTCTGACTGTGTCAGCAGAGGAGAACAGGAGCTCCCAGAGAGTTCCAGGACACTCTTGTGGGAAACAAGCCCAGCCTGGATGTGGCACTGGAATGAAGCCAGACTGGGATAGGTTGGCATTTCTGGAAGATGGAATTTAGCTGAAAAAGGGCTCTGCTCAACTCAGGAACGAGAGAGCTGAGTTTGCAAGGAAGGTAACAGAATATTTGGAAGTGCTGAAGTCAAGTCTTCTTACCATGCCTGGCAACCCAACACTATGCTCTGGTTAATAAGTCTTTAATAAAATAAACTTTTTATTAAGTAGGGATTGTTTCACCCTGCTTCGCAGTGTGTGCACACACAGATTCCTCCTCCAGGGAGAACCCCAAAACTTCTCCATATTTCTGCTTCTGGAGTGATTAGAAAGCTTACTTTTAATCTGCCATTTGTTAGTTAATTCTTTGTGTTGTATTTTATCTTGTCCAGTCTCTTCCCTGCTGGCTGGCTCATTGCCTGCTTGTCTTTGGTATAATTATAAGGAGACCAATCCTGACTTCTCCAGCCTTCCTTTTGTGGGGTTAGAGAAACCATTTCCTCTGGCATTCTCTGGGAAGAGAGATTTTCATTTATTCCCTGCCTTTCTCACTGCCTTTTCTTTCACCTGACCTACCTGAGCTCAGGTTTGGTGACTACAGACAACATGAGAGATTTTATCTAGACCTTAGTTCACTAAATTCTGTACTTGTTTTCCCACGTCAAATATGGAAGTTCCTGTTCCTGGATGGGAATTCTCTTTAGCCACCTTTGTTAAACCTTTAGCTTTTCTTCCTGTAGCCTTTAAAACTTGGGGAGGTTTGGCTTCCAAGCAAGGTGCACTTGGAGATGTCTCTGCCTGTGTTCTTTGGCAGGTGATGTGAGGTTTAGTGGAAGTTTTCTATGTATTCCACTGTTCCTTGGACTGATGCTCTCTTCCTGCAAGGCCTGCCCTTAGCAGCACAGTCTTGAAGTAGATTTTAGGAGAGTTGTAAACTCTCTGGTCTTTATAGTCTTGTAATTGTATATTAAATGATGGGCAAAACAGACCTTTAGAACAGTCTGAAATTGCTGGGCTGAGAAGAGTCCCCAGCAGAATTTAATAGTGGAAAATATAGTGCAAAAAACGACTGCTCCAAGGATTTCACCATGCAAGAAGAGTCAGTAAGAATAGGAATAAAATTTCTGTGCTGCTGAAGGGATTAAATAGAATTCGTTCTAGTGTTACCCATTCCAGCTGAATCTGGGTGTAGGTTTTTGTCCTGTTCCTGGTTCTGAAATGGTTTGAGGATTAGTGGCTTTGGACAATGCTTTCTGTTTCTCTCTAAGCATTTGAATGTTTTCATTTCCAGAGAGACCCTGTCCTGC